CCCCGCAACTCCAAAGGTGGTGATGGAGAAACAGTTTAATGTCAGTTTTTAAAGTGACAGGGGTCATGTTGTTCATTTTTTGAGAAAATACTGCAGAGTATTAGAGGGAATAATTAATAAAAATCAGCAGTAAACTAATTCGGTAGAACCTCAGTGCACAACAATGCTATGATCAAAGAAAAATTTTTTTCTTAAAATTTAAATAAAAGTTTCTTGATGGAAAGTAAACTGATTCCAGGCAGTCAGTTGTTACAGTACTCTGGGCAGTTCCCATAGGGGCATGTCCTGAGGTTTGCTTAATAAATACATTTTTATTAGCATGCACCATCCATTAGTGCTAACACAGATGCTTCTTAAACATGCGTGTTTACTTCACCAGCACGGAACATTTGGCTTATTATAGCTACAGCCAAAAAAAAAAAAAAAAAAAGGCAGCATCATGATTTCCAAAAAGGGAGTGACATTTGATTTGGGGCAGCTCTTGTCATGCGCCATCTCCAACTTGGAAAATCCACCCAGTACAGCCCGGCCAGTCGGGGACCCTTGCAGGCGGCAGCCAGGGCTGCTGCTGACGCGCGTTTGATCTTTTCTGGGCCACCGAGGGCTCGCCACACCCCTGCTCTGGCGCGCACGTTCCTCGCTCGGCCTCGCCCAGCAGGAGCCAGACCTTTTACTTTATTTGGTTCACCACGCGGTCTCCGCTCCAAAGAGCGCGCCGGCGGCGGCGCACGCGGGCCCTCGCGCGCACTCGCACATTCTTCCCCGGGAACGCGGGTGGGGGGCGCGGGGAGGTGGCCGGGCCCGGGCCGCGGTAGCTCTAATTATAGCCCGGCAGCTGGCGCGCGGGCTCGGCCTGGCGCTCGGAGCCAGGACAGGGCGGCGGGGCGGGGCGAGGCGCACAGGGCCGTTTCCCGTTTCCGGGCCCGCGCCCCGCCCCGTCCCATCGGGTCCAGTCCCGCCCCGCCCGGGGTCGCGGGGTTCCACGTGCGCAGAGCCGGGCGCGCGGAGACTGCGCTGCTCCAGCCCGGGAAAAGTTCTAGAATAGAGGCGCGGCGCAAGTCAGGGGGCCGCCTTGGAAACCGCAGCAAGGGCTCCTCGTGGGCTCCAGGCTGTTGGAGAGTGAGGGAGCCTCCTCCCCTTTCTTTCCCGTGGAGTAAACAGGGCTTGCCAGGGCTGGATTCTTTCTTCCATTTAAAAAGTGCCATTCTGAACAGCGATACAAAGTGAAAAAATAAATTTTTAAAAAAAGAAAGGAAAAGCTACAATTTGACCACTCTGACCAGCCTCCTTGTTCCAACTGGCCTCTTGATTTGTATAAAGATGATGGGGTCTGGCGGCCCCTTTGATGCATGAGTTGCACGCTGGGCATAATGAACTTCTTGTGCGAAAGCACTTTGGACTTCGGACTGTGTTCCTATGTCAGAATTTTACTGTGGTTTGTAAGATAAACTGGAAGGAAACAAACTCGTAGTTAACTCTTGTCAATACGTGTCTTGAACCAAGCAAAGTGACATTTCCTACCTGTGGCTTTGACTTTAAGCTGCACAAAAGGTAGGAGCTAGCCTCTCAGCTGTTCAGAGCCTAGAATGAGATGCCTGCTTAGTAGGTGTTAAATAATAACAGCAACAACCCATATGGTGCTTATTAGGAGAATAGTATTACAAAACTTCTCTAATGACTGTGACCCTCCTGTGAAATTCTGATTTCAATTGTATATGGGGTACAATAAATCTTTATCTTTTATCACCAGAAAAGCTAATTGAACTGCTGTTTGCAGGCAGAAATAACAAAATGGGGGTAATGGGCTCTCAGCCTGGGCTAAGGCTCTCAACAGCTTTTTTCTGTTTTGCAGCTCACACATATAGTCGGCTCAGGCAGACGGCCCAAGCCAAGCCTGTGCCAAAGAAATGCTGATTTAGTCTGACCCAGACCATCTCTACTCCCACATGTCACTTCTCTGCAGAACTCTTACTAGTACGGCAAATACTTTAAAAATCATACAATAAGGCAAAAGCTCAGTAATTTGAGGTTCACTTTTAATAAACTCTTTCCATGCATTAAAATAAATTGAGGTCCTTAGCTCTGGCGAAATGTTGTTTCTGGGTTTTTAATTCCACCCCCCTACCCCACCCGCCCCAGACATAAATAGCCACATACGCAATTCAAAGTACTCTATTTGAACTAGTATAGGAAAGATGTTTTCTATAATATTGCAGATAAATTTGCAATGACTTAAATATTTATCTGCTAAAGTTGCTGAGTGCCTCCACAACAAAACCGAACTCATTTTTGGTGCATGATGGGCATCTGAATGTTACCTGATGGTGATGATATACTTAGAAATACTAATTGCTAAGTAAAAGTGGTAAGTGATGTGATCTACAGATTATGTAATGTAGTTAATTTCCCCCAAAATGTAAACTATATTTAGAAATATTCAAATGTGACATTATTACCCTATACAGGATGTCTTATCTCAGCATCAAGGGCGTCTGCAGAGCTGCTGGAGGAGGCTCTTTGGATTACGCAATCTAACTTCTGAAAGCCCATTCAAAGGATGAGAGCAACCGGTGCGCTGAAGCTCTCAATTTAAACTAGGAATCCTGTAGTCTAGTCTCTAGACTTATCTGACCTAGGCAGAAATCATCTCCCAGAGGCTTTTCATGGCTGATTCTGTGATATTTTACTTGCATTGAAGATTTTTTATTCCATGTTTTGAGTTAGTGTGAGTCATACAGTGCTGTTCTATTTTCCAAATAAATGTTTGTCTTACAGAAGAAACTTTATACCATTTTAATAGGGTTGTTTTACAAGGAAATTTTACTCAGTTGGTTTTTGGATTAAAAATAAAAGAACAGCTTTTAAGATACTATGTCTAAATGATTCTCAATAATGATCTGTGGTATAGTTACTTTTTGCCCTAAAATACCTTTTCTGTGGGTTGTATGGATTGTTTTATGTTGTGCCAGGCAGATGTGCACAATTTTCTGATACAAACCAGTATAAACACAGACTTTGTATTCTATAATCTTTTAAAGAGGCAAGTTACACTCCAAATCAACAAATCAGAGAGCTGTTTCCAATCAAGCATTTTAGGTTAAGTTGTATTGACACGGGGAGGGAGCAGATGACACAGTAATGAGTTAAAACAATGTTCACTGTTAAATTAGGTATCAATTAATGTAATAACTAGGGGTAGTGTGGGTATCCCTGACAAATTATGGATTTATCTGAGGATTAATGGAGGAATCCACAGATAATCCATAAATCTACTCATTTTCTAGCTAACCTCTTAACGAGTAATTTATAAATTGTCTATTTGTGTGCCTTTTAAGTTACAGTGAGGGGTTCACACATATTAAGGAAAATGCAGGCTGTCAACAGGAACAGCCAACAAGAGATCTAGATAGTTTGTAATCTGGAAAGTCACACCTGTAATTTTTATTTGATTGTAGTACTATTGCTGTCAGAGGCCTAACCAGTGGCACTGAAAGAGTTAAAACAGTCCCCACCCCCACCCCCGATTTCTAGAACCCCAGATGATAAATTGGGTAAATATGTATTCCATTCATTGGTGCATCTGACCTTGGTCTGTGACAGAGGAAAGGCGTGTCTTCTCATACTGTTCCCTACGAACAAAAGGCAAGCAAATGAGGGTGACTCAGGACTTCTCATGGCCTACACACAACTGAACATTTTTCTGAATGATTCCACGTATACACTTAGGAATCAGGAAGAGAAACATTTTACTCTTCACTAACCAAATAAAACCATCTATAAATCATATGCAAAACAACTTTGAGTAAAGAGGGACTTAAAAGTCTAGGAATTAAAAAAGGATTTCCATAGTTTCCTTTTAACTCTCCCTCAACTCCCCTTTGGGGAATAAACAAAGACATCTGCCACATCAAGAGTTCGGTTTGTTTTCTTAACTGAAAACGAAATGCAGTCATTAAAGTGTATCTTTGGGAAGAGGTTTTGAAATGTTGAAAATTACTTCTACAAGCTGCACTATTTTCAATTTCAATAAAAATAAAATTTACCACTTTTGTTTAAAAAAACTGAAGTTCATCCTATTTCTTTTAACTAGTTATTACATGAAAAATTGTTTATTATTATCTGTAACTTGCTAAGAATATGGTTTCTTGAAAATGACCTTAATAGCCTACTAATAATGAAAAACTATTAAAATATATATAGTGGTGGGCCCCCCTCCTAGTCACTGGACCACCCCTAGTGTAAATATATTCAAGTACACATTCACTGTTGCTGTTTAATTTAAAACATATAGTAGTAACTCTATGTATATCCTAGCCTCAAACTCTTTATAAGTTTCACAACTTCCTTTCATAGAGAAGTCTGCCAAGCCGTTAATCAATAAAAAGAGTAAAAGCTGCAACATCTAGGAAATGTCTTACTATATGAGAGTAGCCAGTAAAATGTGTCTCCGTGCTTTCTACCTTTTATCTCTATTTATAAATTTAGGTTTCAGGATATCAATAAAGCTCATACATGGATTTGGCTTTTTTCATTCCTAAGCTTTCCAAAGTATAAGGCTTTGCTTTTTTTTTTTTTTTTTTTAAATCCCTTTTGTCTTTAGTGCATTTCCTATGGCCCAAGGTAGCTGTTTTATTCCAAAGCTTTCCAAAGAGCAGCTCCAGGTCTTGACAGTCTTTTCAGTGTCGTCACTATCTTCTCCTTCCAATCTACTATTGCAGAATGGTTGGTTCTGCTGCTAGTTGAAAAATAAACAAATGCTTTCTAGCTGTACTTTGTTCAGCTCTTTCATCTGTGTCCCCTATCCAGTTGCCCTTTCCCCAGTCCCTGGCACTTCTTTTTTATACCATCAGTTGCCTTTTTGTTCCATGTCTTTTATCTCCTGAAGTTCAGGCAAACCCCAACCCCAAACCCACACATCCTTTAGTCACATTACCATTAGTGATTAAAACAATAGCCATTCTAAGCTTGCTTTAGAAAATTAAAAAAGGCCTCAGAAAATGTTCAGTGCTCCCAATTTTATTTTTATTTAATGCTAAAAGTTAAAGAAAAAAAGGTACTGTAAATCTGACAAATGACAGAATTCAGGTGATATTTCCATAGCGTGATTTTAAAATATAATAATGTTGATATCTGAGATTACACTCACTTCAGTTGACATGAGTTTCATCATATATAGAAAAAGTATCACCTTCAACTTAAAAAAAGTAAAGGTTAAAAGGTGGCACACTTTTAAAATACTTGGTGGCCAAGGGAAGGTATATAGTAAAAGTTGTAAACCATGTGTATGTTCTCATAACTTTAAATGTGAGGCCACATAAAAGACAGTACATCTGTTAAATTCTATAAATTGTTAAAGCAAAAAAGGGAAAGCTTCAACACCCCATCCCCTTATATTTTGAGTATTAAAAGCATAGCTGAAATATTAGGATTTGAAATCTGATACTGCCCATGTACAGTAAGTAGCTTTCTGACATTTTTATCCAGCTGTGGAGAATCTCTGCACTGTCATCAGGTACAACAAAAGATCAAACCCACGTCCCAATGTTAACTTTTTAACTTAAAAGAATGCCAGAAAACCCAGATCAACACTTTCCAGCTATGAGCCTTCCACAAAGGCCACCCAAGGGCCAGTCAGACTCGTGCAGCTCTTATTTCTTAATAGTAGTAACCACAATACACAGCTCTTTAAAGCTGTTCATATTCTTCCCCCATTAAACACCAGTACAGAGAAACCACAGGTTGCCCTTTCCACAGCTGGACAGACTTATCCAAAACAGCAGGATGGTTCTCTATTAATCTTTTTGGAACGCGTATCTGTATTAAGATTGCAAAACATACAGATAGCTACCAAATTAGGTCAAATGACTGATGAAGTTGTAACATCTATGAGGTCAAATTCCAGTTATAATAAAGTGCCTAGATACACATTTATACAACAGATCATAATAGCTGATTTCTTTACAAATGTCTTTATGGGCATGTAAAATTGACTCTGCATTTCTGCATGTGTGCATTCACATAAGAGAGACCAGTCTGAACTGAGTCATATATACTCCAATTTGAAAAAAAAAAGTGTAACAACTGGTTAATCATGCAAGTCTGTTTGTAATATAACAATGACTGGTAACATGAATTCTTGCACAGTAGTAATAATAGGTGCACTCATTAAAAACACTATGAAAAAATACTGTATTTGGTGCAGTATCTGATTTTCAAGTGTTAGTAACTTGACCATTAAAAAATATTTTGAACAATTTAAAAAGGAAAGACAAACATACAGCTAAAAAAGAATCCAAAGTTGGTAAAAATCTGTATTTTCAAATGAAAATAGAAGCTAGGCTGTGAATCATACACATAAATTCTAGACCTTGAAGCCATAATTCAGCCTAATTATAAGGCCAAGTTACAAACACCTGAACATAAGGATTTAAAAGTGTTCCTGTCAATGTTAAATCATAACAGCACAAAAGAAAAACCAGTATCACTGTGAGACAACTATTTCTAATAATTGATGATTTATTGGTTTTAAAAAAATCATTTTACTGATGCAAAATAGTGATCAAAAGAAATTAGTTTACAAAAAGACTTCTAAAAATATTTTGAGAGGTGGGGCCTATTATATAAAACCCTTAATTTCTTTAATTTCCACTAGTTTATCATTTTTTTCCAGAACAGTATTATTCACTTGGTATTTCAAACACATGTAAGAAGGAAATTACAGGTTTCCTCCACCCACATTTGGGCTGTCACTGATATGCCCAAGGGCAGTCCTGGCAGCACCACGCGGCTGTTACTGTCATTGTACCATACTGTATTCAGCACTCACTAGAAACAGGGTATAGGTGATAGTATCAACAGCAATAGCACTACAGGTAAATGATAAACAAAACAGAAACAAAACCAATCCCACAATCTCCAAGTTCACCTGGACTGTAACTTCTCTTGCAACTCTTTCAAAATAAAGGACAACAGCAACAACAAACAGACCTCTAGGGTGTTTAAAAAGATGAAGTGGCGCTGCAGAGCTGGGCGCTGCTCAAAGATGGCAGTGCCATCTTGTACACACCACCATCCATTATAACCGCCTTCCACCACTGGAATTGTGTCTTATGTAACCAACTAGCATGCAGCATTGTAATCTTACAACTGATCACGTGGACAGTGAACAGCGGTCAACTTTGTCTTTAAAAAAAAAAAAAAAAAAAAAAAACCCCAAAGACCACACAATCCTGAAAATTTCCCAGCAGCACTCTCAGTCATCAGTTATCTCAGGAACTGAACTTTTGAACAAAACAGAGATTCAAAATCTACTTTCCTACTCCTCTGAGGACAATGCTTCAGGGTAAACTGGTATTTCCCAGTGGCATGCCCACTTGACAACATGCCCGTTCACTCATTTCCTTTCCTTCTCCACCACTTGGCCTCCGGCCTGAGAAAGGGGCCAGCAATAAGGAATGACAGACAGTAAGGCAATCTTACAATGTCAGAAAATGTATTTGGCTTTTTTTTTCTTTTTAAAATAAGTGCATACAAATACAGCTAGAAGCATTTCTGATTTGCCAAGTGCTCTAAAAAAGCAGCGCAAGTCACAGCCTACATAGAACGGTAACTGTCACCAGGATAATAAAGCACAAAGATATGCTAATAACGTTAACAAAAGAAAAAAATGCCTTTATAAGTACATACCTTTTGTCGTCAAAAAAAAATATAGAAACACAATGTATTCAAAAAAAATCAAAATTATACAGCCATGTTTATGAAGTCTACATTTCCCTTGTCTTGGATATATATATATATGGAGATATATATACAATTCAAGCAGTTTTAATTAAGGGTAATCATTGGGTTTTTCTGAAACCGGAAAGTCACGAGTCTCTCTCTTTTTTCACTTTCACATCTCCAGCAAGGATGGTTGCAATTTCCCCTTGCATAAAGGCCCAGGGGACATTGGAGCCCACAAGAGGGCATTTTTCCCCACTGGGACAATAGACCTCTCCACTAGCTCCCTGCTGTTTGATGCTTTGTCTGGAGCAAGGGAAGCAGAACTTGTGCGAAGGGACGGACGGGCACTGCACAAAATGGGTGTCCTCCAGCCGCTCGTGGCAGAGGGTGCAGCACAGCGGGGCACTGGCTGCCAGAGAGGAGTCCGGGAGGCTGGCAGGGTGCACTGGCTCCAGTCCTCCTGTGTTGCCTGCTCCCTGGCCCCCCACCTCTCTGGGGCCCAGCCTTCTTTGGTTCATAGAGGACGGAGAGGGCGGACTGTTGCTATTCCTCCTGGTAGTGGAGTGAACCTGGTTGGCATCTTTTGAGGCATGACTGCCCCCTGCATTGTCTGCTACTAAGATCAGGGCTGCCATGGGGGACTGGCCATTCTGGGCCGCTTCAGGCGGTGTGGTCCGGTTGGAATGAGGTGAGGCAGTGGGTGGTGGCGGAGACACAAAAGAGGATGTAGGAGTCATGGGGATCTTGAGCCCTTCTGTGGATGTGGACAGCCACGGCTGGGCCTCTCCATTGATCTTAGGGGGCCCGACTTCACCTTCTGGTTCTGGAGAGGGCTTCCTTTTCCTTGCTGTTCTTGCAACTGGAAACACAAAGAAATAAAAGGAAAAAGGAAACATAAATGGCGGTGCACTGAAAGGGATCCTTCCCTTCCTGACCCGAAACAAAACTCGTTACAGAATTCCTCCTCTCTAAAAGCACAGACGGAAAATACTCATACGAGTTTCAGGTGCACATACATGCAACTTGAAACATTTAGGCGTGTGGGGTTCTGAGGCAGTAGACTGAAAATAAAACGGAGCCACTGAAAATGGCAGGCTTGTAACTGCCTGTTTTTACACATGCACAAAAGTACCCTAGTTTGCACTGGGCATGTGACTGCTAACGTCCCCCAATAGGTTAAAAGGTGACTGGTGCCCTCATGCTCCCATCCAAGAATGTGCTGGGAAAGGAAAACCCCGTGTCAGAGCGTATCAGCCCAGTCTGACTCATCTCTGTTATGCTGCTTCAGCACATGAACACGTTGCCACTAAGCCCTGGTTCCGCCTCAGGCAGATCAGGAAGTGGGGTGTTTGTTGTTTCTGAGCTGGGGTAAAATGGTGAATCGAAAGAACCACCCCTCCTCTGCTCTCTGTCCCCTTTTCTCCCCTAGACCCCCTCACTTCACAGCCGCCCCTACCTGCTTTAGACCCGTTGGCCCCGTTGGCCTCGAAACCCAACAACCTGCCTGCAGTCAGGGCCGGCTCCTTCTTAAACTTGCTCTCGAAGGGCCCCGAGTGGCCGTGCTGGTGCAGCGCCAGCAGCGTGTCGCGCACGGTCTTGGGCCTGTTGACCCAGTCCTGCTCTCCAGACCCGCGGCTCTTGCCCGCACCTTCCGCGCTCAGCT